GGAGGGGGAGGAGGAGGAGGAGGAGGAGGACGAGGAGAGGCAAGGCTAGGTCCTGTCTGAGATCGTGGTCAGGTTGGGACACCAGCAGGGATTTGGGGCCCTGAAGTGCCAGCAGCATCCAAGGCCAATCAAACATCTCCTCTGGCCCTTGCTGGAAGCGCCTCTAGATTCAAGCCCCACTGGGCCTTGGCCTGGAGTAGCGTTGTCTTCCTGTTATAGCTGTCTGGGCTGGTGAGGGTGGGTGTGGCTGACGTGCCCAGACTCACAGGGTCCTGTGGAAGCAGTGTCAGGTGACATTCTCAATGTCAGTGCCCTCCTGGTGGTGAGGACCTCCCAGAGTCACCAAAGCCCTTCGTCCACGTAGCTCCACCATGCACCCTCATGTCTCCATTATTCTCTTTAACTCACATACAAGCCTATTAAATGTACTTCTGTTCATACATAAATATTAGCATAGAAACATATTTCCAGCTAAAATGGAACACATTTGAATCATCAAACCATTTGGGATTATCTGTGGTGTCTCCACTGTCTCGGCATAAATAGAAGAAGATGGATGTATGTGTTATCTGCATGTGTCTATTTTAATGTACCTTCTTTCCTGACGCTGGCAGAAGTTCTCAAAATATTGCTTTGGAGTTGTTCTTTTGATTTTATCCCCAGAGCATTTATTCAAGAGAATAAATCTGGCCATTTTCAAGCTGTGAGAATATGGAATGCATAATTTCCCTGCTATAAAATACTTCTTTGGGTGTATTTATGTAACTCAAAACAGCTGCTTGCACAAAGTTTACACATAGAGCACAGATGACAGAGGGAGTCGGGCCTGGCATGAAGATTTTAGTATTTTTACCCTGCACACATTTCCATCCATTTCCAGTGTGTAAATTGGTCTTGGGTATGTGGATGCAATGGCTGAGGTCCTGGAAGATTCCTAGGAGGTGTCACCAATGAGGATCTGATGACAGAGAACCCAGCTTTGGGTCCACAGCTCAAGGCACAGCCATGCTGAGTTTTGGATGTACCTGGAGACCAGTCCGGGGTTGTTCCTGCCAGGTTTCCTGAGCTATGGGAGTGTGGTGCAGTCTGAAATTTCACCAAGCTTAGAACTTTGGTTTTGGAACACTGAATCAAATCAATAGTGTGGCCCTGTGCACTGCTCTAACGTGCACGTGTGCTGGCCAGAGGTCCTAGAGTCCAGGTGAGGGTGCAGGCCACCTGGGGGGGGGCAGCCTTGCGCTGCCACAGCCTCTGAGGTGCAGCCTCCGTGAGGAGCGTGGATGGAATGTTGAGGAGCAGCTGTCTCGGGGACTCTGCACCTGTAATGTGTCCCCTCTATCTCTGAGGAGAGAGGCGTCCAGGAAACACAGGTACCGGGGCAGTGCAGGCTCTGGCTGCATCAAGACGTAAGGAGGTGTGCTGTTGCTGCCGAGCTCCATAAAATACATCTGCGCTTGACACCTACTTCCCAAAAGATTTCTCGTTTGTATCTTCTTTAACTAAACAGATATGTTTATTTGTTTGCTTTTTGAGACAAGGTCTTGCTATGTGGTCCAGGCTGGCCGTGAACTCATGGCGATACACTTGCCTCAGCCTCCTGAGTGCTGGGATCACAGGTGTGCACCACCACGCCCAGCTTAAACAGCTATATTGTGTGTCCAGATTTGCAGTGGATTGTAGGGTTTCTTTAAGGTGGACTGGGTCTCAGTTTTATATGAAATAAATATTTATCAATAAATTCCTTCTGTCAGGCAGTTATGGGTGCTGCCATTTAGGGGCTTCCGTGTCCCTCTTAGCCTTTCAGTGAGTAGGGTGGAAAATACAACAGTCATCTACGAAAGCCACCTGTTTCCAATTAAACTGATAGCATAAAATAAACACTTTTAAGAGGCTTTAATATTTTAAATTTCATTTAGAACTTTAACACATTTAATTCTATTAAATATTTCTACAATATGACTAACAGAAACAACATACTTAAGTAGTTCTTTACTACCATTCTAATAATGTAGATTTATTGATACAGTGTATCTGAAATGTATCCAAATAATTTTATACTTTTAAACTTAAAATCACAAATACAAATGAGTAGATATTTTAAATTGTTTGTTTACAACTCAAACATGCCAAGTTCTCTTAAACATCACAAACATATGAAATAGAAATGGATGACTAGGGAATGTCAT